AGGTTAGTGAAGCTGAGTGACATATTATATAAAGATACTGTAAGATATTCTTCTGTATCATTTCCAGAGGACATACACACATTATACACTTCCCTGTAAACTCATATCACACACACACACACACACACACACACACACGAGTCTGTACACTAATCTGAGCTTCCGAGCACCTATAAATTACTGCTATGCCGCACACAAGATAAACCTGTGAGTGTGTGTTTGTGTGCGTGCTGACCTTGACTAAATGTGAGATCTCAACACTATCACAAAACCCCTCCTGACACACACACACACACACACACACACACAGAGAGCTTTCCTCTCAATCACTCCCCTCACACCTCCTTCTGAACCCCAGAGGGATCTCCGGCCCGGAGGGATCTTGTTTTGGGAGAAGGTGAGAAATCGGCATTCACACGGAGCCGTGAACCCTGGGAAAGTGTGAGACCTTCTTTAACCAATAACTACAGGTGCACAATATAGTGCTGCTCAAAATATTCTTTACCGAAGGTTGGGGAAATTGAATTATTATTGACACAAATGGTGGAATTACAGGCAATAGCTTTAGCATAAATGAATTTAAAGTATTTCAACCATGAAAAGCATGATTTTGAATCATGAATGTAAGAACAAAGTACACTTCAGTTTTTACGTGTATGCAGGGTCCGCATACAGTGTACGTGATGATAGTATGCACGTACTGTACACGCACCATCTGATTTTTGTACATGCAGGTCGCACATGCTCATAGTTAATAGTCAGATCACCAATATGAATGTAAAATCTATTTTTTTTCAAGCGAGCGGTTAATTAATTTAGTTAGCTTAATTAATTAGCTAGATGCTTTCGTTGAGAGGGTTAAACACACACACATCCCTACTGATGGCACACATTTCCGTTTGCGTCCTCAAAGAAGATTACTGAAGAACACATCATAAGCCAGAGAAACCACAAAGGAACATGAATGCTATTTGGCTTAGAAGAAATTAAAAACAGAAAAACAACTTCTTCTCTCAAGTTTAACGATATTCAATCATTCATGAGAACTGAAGGATGACCAAAGGAAGACGTGCGACGCCTTAACTCATTCCCTTTGACAGCATGAATGACGCTCGCGCTCGTGAACGCAGACAGAGCTCCTCAAACGCTTCAGTTCGGCGCTCTGGCGTGATTTCTGACGATCTGAAATCAAATAATGAAAGGGAACTAAGGGCAGGTGTCCAGCTCATTAAGCGAGTCCGTTTGACGTGGTGACTAACGATCTGATCGGGGAAGTATGGCGCTCTCGGGGGGATGAAGACACCCTCGGTAGATATCAGTGGAAAAAAACTAAACTAAAGTGAAACTAAACTAAAATAAACTGGACTCCAGCAACAGATTTGACTCATCAGTGCCTAATTAAAGAGGACAAGAAATAACAAGCCCACACCAGGCTTTAGAGATGGACTGCGAGCGAGAGAGAGAGAGAATGAGAGAGCGTAATAAAGGGACGTAACATGCCTGGACTCATTAGAAGGGACACGTCTCCGGGGGGTTTGGAGGGGAAGCAGGTGGATACTCTATACTGTGAGAAATCAAATCGAGACATGAAGAAACAAGCCCCTCTGATCCATTAGCTCGTCTCGGAAATATCATGCAATATTAATCACAACAGTGTCTCCCCACGCCGCCTGAATCCTCCGAGCGTTACGGGTAATGTGTGCAGGCGGCCAGCAGAGGCATCTAACTGCACGAACCCTGCAGGTGTGTTTACATTTAGGGCTGATAAAGCAAACAGACGGCCGCTATAAAGACTCCAGCTGAGCTACTGCACCCTGAACCTGTGGAAAGACCAGATGAATATCCTGCATGAAAAACCTGTATCATCATGTTGTTTAAAATTCTGTCTCTCACCCAGAAAGACAGACAGCAGAGCGAGACAGAGGGGAGATCAGTCAAGACTCCCAATTAGTCTGAAGACAGACGGAGGCTTTCAGTATTCACTGTCTCTCTCTTACACACACACACACACACACACAGACATTGAAGCAGAACAACCAGTCAGATCATACACACACAGCAAACACTGACACATACACACCCACATCCAGCACTGATTAAAACAAGAAAGAAGAGAAGAAACGGATTATCATAGTAGTCACATTCAGCAGATGAAGTATTACATTCAAACAGCTAGGCACAGTGAAAAGCTATTGTATTGAAAAACAAAAAGTCCTGTGAACAAACTCCACTGACCCAGAGAGACACTTCACCTGTAGAAAACATTACTGAGAGCCATTACTGCAAGTGTGAGAGAGCTACAAAAGAAAAGCTCAACAGAACCTCGACATTCCCATAAATCAACCGGACACCAATACCACCGACAAACAAAACATCCGTTGTGAATTTCTTCCTCATTCTTTTGTTCAGAGGACTCGATGGCAGGAATGTGTCACCACACAAAGCTCAAGAGTTACGACAATACAAGAAAAAACCTACTGACTTTTCAGCTCTGCTGGTACATTTGCACTGAGGTTGCCTTTAGTATCTTTGCATCTCTTTGACCTGATCTTGTTAATAGAGTGCGTTAGTGACCGTACACTTTTTCAGTCGCATCGGAAGTATTTTTTCCATTCATGTTTCCCAAAGGGATTTTAAAAAAGTCTTTGTTAAAGCGTTATAACAACCCAGGCTCATTGAAAATACATGCTCGTGGTGACGTTTCTGCAACACCAATATTACAGTGCGTGCATTACTGCATGTTTCAAAGTGAAATGTCCAGTGAATAGCGCTAAAACATGAGTTCAATGCATGACCGTGGCACGTTTTTATTATGTTGCGGCGGTTCAGAATTCACATGCTCGGATAGTGTCACTATAGGGTTAACGGTCTATCATGTTGGAAAATAACATTCCCCCTACAACAAACCCAACCCTAAACCAACTCGATAGTGTTAACGAATACTAAAGTGATATAAAAATGCATCCGCTGATGCAACGTGCTATTTTAAAGGGGTCATATGATGTTGCTAAAAAGAACATTATGTTGTGTATTTAGTGTAATGAAATGTGTTTATGAGGTTTAAGGTTAAAAAAAAAAAAATTTTTCTCCTCTATGCCCCGCCTTTCTGAAACACGCCGATTTTTCAAGCTCATCGGCCTGAAAAGTGAGGTGTGCTCTGATTGGCCAGCTATCCAGTGCGTTGTGATTGGCCGAATATCTCAAGCGTGTGACGGAAATGTTACGCCCCTTACCATACTGTGATGCCCTGTCCGGCCGGAGCGTAACATAAAACCATGTCTGCATTTGTGATCGGAGAAATGACAAACAACAAGTGCTACTCTACACTGCTCAAAAAACTCGCATTTGAGTGAGCAGAGGCGGCGGGCTTAAGAACGGCGCGGCCGGCGGATTCGACTAAGGCGCATCCGGAGGGCCTGCAGCAACCACATGTGATGACCCCAGGCTGGACTCCGCTTCGTCCACGGTGAAAGCCGATCCGGCGATCCACAGCATGAAGTTGATGTATTTCCTCAGCGACCAGCATGGATCAGCTCTAGGCATGACGAAGCAGATATCGTCCTCTTTCGGAAGACCAAACAAAGTAGTTTCGCTTTCACAACAAAACACACAGCTCTTCACAACATGGCGGCGGCGGCAGCAACAATACTACAGCGAGAATAAAAGTTACGCCTTCTTTCTTTGCGTGAACATTTGGGCGGCGTTATGCAAATCTTCCCACATAGTGAGGTAGACATGTGGGGGCGTGTTAGAACGAGGCGTTTTAGGTAGGCGTGGCTGACTCTTAACTTTTAGAAAGAATATCTCTTTTAGAAGACTTTAGTCTTTGCAACCAAGAGTTCATAACACTCCAAAGAGAAAGGAAAAATTTAAATCGCATCATATGACCCCTTTAACTTATACGTGGCTTTGAGCTGTTTTGTTGATCGTAGTTTCACGGGATGCATACCGGAGCGCTTCAACGCACAAGCTACTAAGCAAACCTGCTGCATTAGAAAACCCACACATATGAAGCTGTATATGTGACACTAATGTTCAAAAGTATCAGATTTCAGATCTTGCAGCAGGTTAAATTTGTTGTAAAGTCATAACATAATATTGTGCAAGGATTTGTGCAAAAATTTGGCTTTCCTAAAGGAAAATCTGGCCCTGTAAATCGTACTTTATGTGAAAAGGAAGAATGTTTGTTGGAGTTTTACTGCCTCTAGTGTTCATTTCAACTGGAAACAGCAGCGATTTGTATGTATAGATACGTTTTTTGAGTTTTGCAAAAATGTAGAAAAAGGCACATATTTTCAATGAGCCTGGGTAGCATTATAAGCCACGAACCAAACCAACTAGCTACAAGGAGAGTCACAAAGGTACAGACCTAAAGTATTTGAAAATCAGTCAAAAAACAAAGGTACAAGACTATAAACTACACGGTTTAGGGAAATAACTACAATTACATGAAGCATTGTGAATGACATAATCGAGTTCAAAAATAACTATTGGTTTAAGGTTGTTGTGTGTATATATATATATATATATACAGTGGGGAAAAAAAGTATTTAGTCAGCCACCAATTGTGCAAGTTCTCCCACTTAAAAAGATGAGAGAGGCCTGTAATTTTCATCATAGGTATACCTCAACTATTTATTGCAAAATATATATACACACACAATCATTTAAGTATTTTGAGGGTGTATCATTACGTTATTTGTGGTGCTTTCCCTGCCAAGCTCTTTTGGTGCGATTGGCTTGCTACGACTCAGCTGTTAAACATAAGTTGTTTTTAAAAACAAGTTGAAATAATGTGAATGGATGGCTTCAACAAAAGCATATACCATTGATTAACAGCCTCAGAGCTCACAGTTGGTCTGTCTTTAAAGGTTTATAAGTTATCATTAAAAATCAATTCCCCTTTGCAGAAAATGTTTTTACTTCCGGAAGCCGACTGTTCGGTTCTATAGAAAACAAACTCTCACTGCATCTTTTGATTGACTGAATAATTAGCATACCTGATACTCATTGGGCCAAAAAGTGCTGACAGCGAGCTCCGCCTTCATCCAGCCTTTGCCTGTGCAGGAAGTGACGTTCCAGATGGGATTGGCCAGCGGCCCTTTATTGACCTTCACCAGGATGTTGAGAGTCCCGGGGCTGGAGCCGTCGGGGCAGTACAGGAGATAGTTGAAGTCGATGCAGTGAGTGTCGTTTTCTTTCATCACGGGCATCTGCAGGCGAGCCTTTTCTCCGTAATCGTGCTGTGAGGTGTCCACCATCATGTACGAGCCTGGAGGGCAACAAAAAACGGAGAGAGGAAACACACGTGAGCTGGGAAGAACTCAACGAATATGAGCTCTTTTCCAAACCCTAGCGAGCTGCCTTGCCGTCTACTCCCTACAAAGGCAGTGCCCTCACCAAAATGGAGCCTCATTAGTGAGTGACTTGGAGCTCTGCATAAGCAGCATTGTGACACTAACAACAATATGAATAAAATATATTTGTAGTCGACATTTCCCATCTTTTTTTTTTTACTGTTGTAACGCATTCTGGGATCAACGATTCAATTAATCTTAAAATCAAGATTGACTTTTTTTACTTTATGCATGAGATTTTTCTCTGAACTCTGAAGTCTGTTGACATTACGGCTAAAATATTCCCAAACTAACTGAATCGAGGGCTTGTGCAACAAATCTGAATTAGTTCCCCAGCTCTCTGGTTTTGAACCAGTAAACCACATGAAAAACCTCCGCCAAGCAATGTACAAAATGCTGAAAAAAGTGAAGAAAACAGATCGTTTGAGAAATCATGTGGGATTCTAGCAGGAACACCAAAATATAAACTCAGGCATGAGGACACAATATTTTTGAAGTTCAGAATCAAAGACTCACTCGTACACTTGGCAGTTGGCCGTGTGCTGATTACTGAACGCTTTTATAATCACGCCACCAGAGAAACGGTTCCACGCTATCGGCCAAGATGCACAGGGCCATATAGGATCTGGTTCCATTTCTTTAAGCAAGTGATTGCACTGAGAGGAAACCGTTTCAAATCTCAAACGCCAAGAGGATGGACATCAGGCGGAGAGAGGACAGACTTCACCACCATTTGTCCAAATGAGCATACATCTGTTCATCTGTCTCTCCACAGCCAGGAAGAGAGATGACTAGCTCTCTCTCTTTGATCCTCATCTTCTGTCAGAGATAAAGTCTACATGCAATCCATCCTCTTTACTGCCTAAACAAACGCGCCTGGCCATGCTGTGTGCAGTTCATCAGCTGTGTGTTATTCTAGATTCAGACTCTTTTTTCTCTGCTGTAACTATTGGTCATGTGGGTGGGGAGAAATAATCTTACATAAAACATGATGGCCTGATGCTCCGCTGCACTCAAGGCCGTTGTAAAATGCTGATAGACACATACCTGTGAGCACACATTCGATCTTTATGAAACAAAATGATTCATATATTCATTCTTACATAAACGATTGCATCCAATGGGACAATTTAAGCAGAAATGGATTTAAGAACCATTCAGTCTGCTCAAGTCTAATGAATCAGACGTTTTACAATATGTCAGTAAGATATTTAGTAAGTAATTAACATTTCATTCAGCAAAGTCTATTTCAAATAAATGCTGCTCTTTTGAACTTTCTATTCATCCGTGAAGTCCGAAAAATAAAATGTATCATGGTTTCCACAAAAATATTTTCATCATTGATAATAATCAGAAATGTCTCTCGAGCAGCAGATCAGCATATTATACTGATTTCTGAAGATCATGTGACACTGAAGACTGGAGGAATGATGCTGAAAATACAGCTGCGCATCACAGAAATACATTACAGTTTAACAGATATTATAATACAGTTCTTATAAATTGTAAAAATATTTCACAATATTACTGTTTTACTGTATTTTTGATCTGTTTCTCTCTCTCAACAGGTGAGTTCTGGGTGAAAGAAAGCCTCTTTCTTTTATAAGCATAGAGTTTAGATCAGACCATCAGGATGTGAGAGATGGCAAATCAAAGGCAAATTGGCCAAGAGCTGCTGGCAACCCTACAATTCATATCTATCTCCTGATTTCACTGCAAACAAAACAAAAAAAACTAAAATAAAGTACTCCACACAGGATTCTGAATACAAAATCAAGTTCTGATTGGTTGTACTAACACCTGCTTTTCGTTGATTGTATTTACTCATTTGCATATTACCTTCACACTTTCATCACTGTCTAAAAAATATTGATTACTTCTTTAAAAAATACAACTACCTTTCACAAGGTATAGTCACAAAATGACGTCCCTTCCAATGTCTGGCTATTCCAACAGTAAAAGGGAAAGTTCACCCCAAAATGAAAATGTGCTTTTCATTTCTCTCAGGCGATCTAAGTAGGTGACTATTTTTCTTCAGTAGAACAGTAAAGAAGATTTGTAGCTGAAACTGTCATACTTGGTGATTCCTAAAATGCAAGTTAGCAGTTACCGTCACTTTGACGGTCAAAAAAAATGTGTACAAAAATTCTATTTCTTATTTTTATTCGTCTTGTCAGGATACAATTCGTTTAACATTGACAACGCAATAGGGAAAAAGTGTTGCAGAGAGAGAAAAAATAAAAATGTAGGTTGTACAAAAATAGCCTATTAGCTATTTTTATTCGTCTTGTTAAAATACAAAATTTTTGACATTTTTCTGTTTGTCACAGTAGGAAAAGTGTCGCAGAGAAAAATAAATAAATACGACATCTTTCATTTAAAATTATAGGCTAAGCAAAATATAAACAAAACCGAGTTGAACGTCCTTCAAGTACAGCGCATCCACACTTTACTCCATCCTTATTCTGCTGTCACTCATCGACAACCTGCCTGTTCTGTCTGAGGGCCGTATATTTACCACCGGTACAGCCTGCTCTGAGCATCGTTATGCACATGCTGCGCACAGACCACGCAAATAATGCATAACAGTCCTGAGTGCAAGCTGTACCGGTGGTCAATAAGAATAAAGCGCAGATATGCTGTTCTAAATGGACTTCGGGAACGGGATATTGTTAGACCGCCCGCTCCTGTTCAAATTACACCAGAGTTACCGACCGCTACCGCGTTTTATTCGGGAATGTAATCCCGCAGCGCAAAAAATCCGGTCGGGTCCCACGGTCCCCACGGGAGACCCACAGGAATGCAGACCTCTAGTTCTCGGTTCACGCACGCGCACATCAGCGGCTCATCGGTCTTCGGTCTGAGTGACTGTTGGAGGAACTGGAGCGCTGAATCAGTTCATTCCTCTTAGGATCAGATAGGCCAGTATTTCGGCTCATTTCCAGTTGGAGTGACTGTCAGGCGTTTGAGTTTGAATCGAGCCGCGAACTGTTTCAGACGCTTCAGTCCGACTTAGTTAACTGGTTCAACTAGTTCGCCAAAAAGAATCGGTTCAAAAGAATGATTCATTCACGAACCAGACATCACTCCGGACCGTTTGCCTGAGGCTCTGGATTACAGGTAATAATGTTGTAAGTAATGTTCAGTTTCTTGCACAAACCGATCATTTCGCTTCATAAGACCTCAATATATAGTCAGGAGCCACGGGTATTCATTTTGTGTTTGTTGATATGCTTTTATGATTCTCAAAGCTAAATACAGCCTGTGTAAACGGAGTTAAACTATGAGCTCAGGCGTCTCAGATAAGTGAACTAGCGGCAGGATTGCAGAGCAATTGTGAATGCTGCCGGAGTAATTGAATCGACTGCCGGGGAAAGCGTGGCGCTCACAGCGAGACGTTAATGGCTGCAGGTGAGAACAGCAGCGTGGATGTCAGAAGGTGTGTGTGTGTCCCGCCGTTTCTTCTATAAATGGCCATTGGGTAAACACTCGTTTCTCACAAACTCTCCAGGCAAAACCGAAAGGTCAAAGGTCGGTCGCGTGAACTAAACGGCGTATCCAGATGGCACTAGCGTTCAGCCAAGAGTTACTGGCAGAAAATGAAAACGGGTTCATGAGCAATTTTTTGATTTATGTAAGTGAACACGTGCTGGAGAGTTTGGAGAAGGATTGTGTGAACTGCTCATTAATCACTTCAGTGTAAAACAAAGAAGAAAACGACGAGAGCAACATAGGATAGACGACAGAAGGCTCGACATATTAGACGAGTGAGTTTGGCCGGCTCTCGGTCTGAGTGACTGTTGGAGGAACTGGAGCGCTGAATCAGTTCATTCCTCTTAGGATCAGATAGGCCAGTATTTCGGCTTATTTCCGGTCGGAGTGACCGTCAGGCGTTTGAGTTTGAATCGAGCCGCGAACTGTTTCAGACGCTTCAGTCCGACTTAGTTAACTGGTTCAACTAGTTTGCCAAAAAGAATCGGTTCAAAAGAATGATTCATTCACGAACCAGACATCACTCCGGACCGTTTGCCTGAGGCTCTGGATTACAGGTAATAATGTTGTAAGTAATGTTCAGTTTCTTGCACAAACCGATCATTTCGCTTCATAAGACCTCAATATATAGTCAGGAGCCACGGGTATTCATTTTGTGTTTGTTGATATGCTTTTATGATTCTCAAAGCTAAATACAGCCTGTGTAAACGGAGTTAAACTATGAGCTCAGGCGTCTCAGATAAGTGAACTAGCGGCAGGATTGCAGAGCAATTGTGAATGCTGCCGGAGTAATTGAATCGACTGCCGGGGAAAGCGTGGCGCTCACAGCGAGACGTTAATGGCTGCAGGTGAGAACAGCAGCGTGGATGTCAGAAGGTGTGTGTGTGTCCCGCCGTTTCTTCTATAAATGGCCATTGGGTAAACACTCGTTTCTCACAAACTCTCCAGGCAAAACCGAAAGGTCAAAGGTCGGTCGCGTGAACTAAACGGCGTATCCAGATGGCATTAGCGTTCAGCCAAGAGTTACTGGCAGAAAATGAAAACGGGTTCATGAGCAATTTTTTGATTTATGTAAGTGAACACGTGCTGGAGAGTTTGGAGAAGGATTGTGTGAACTGCTCATTAATCACTTCAGTGTAAAACAAAGAAGAAAACGACGAGAGCAACATAGGATAGACGACAGAAGGCTCGACATATTAGACGAGTGAGTTTGGCCGGCTCTCAAAGCCACAAGAACACATGAGCATGAGTTCAGATCCACAAAGCTTAGATTTGAGGCTGGTTTAGCGAGTAAGGAGCTGCGGTTTATGTTAGTATGCTGCCCAGCACTGGACAGAGAACTAAACCACCACACCACTAATTACACACAACCACACCCAACTCAACTCTCCGCTGAACAAACCTCAAACCTCCCAGCTCAGGC